ATTCCAGAAATCCAATAATTTAGTTCTTGTTTCTTTTTTCTGCGAATCATGGCCCAAGCCCTCTCCTTCGAATGTGTTCATCAATATTTTCTTGCATATAAAGCAATTTTTTTGTAATCATCCATTTTCTTCGAAACCCCCACCAACCGTCTTTGGGTACGCACCTGCACTACACACACGCATTTTAGGGCCAACAAAAGGAAATATTTGTTTGTATGCGTATGGTTGCTTGGTGAAGCCTGCGTGAGAATATTTTGTGGGGTAATAATGATGTATGTACATACAAATGCATGCACGAATGAAAGCTTATACGTATGTAGATATATATGTATGTATGTGTTTGCGTGCACTAACAATAAACGGCTTAATTGTTGACAAAGTGGCAACCGCAACGAGCGCAAATGAACGCTTTACTGGCCGCTCAAGACGACAAAAAGGTAGCAAGCAGCCAACTAGCGAGTGACGGGAGAGGGAAGAGAAGGTGAAAGGTCGTTGGAGGGCAAATGTGGTCGCTTTGGTAACTACTACAACAACAAAAACAGTGAGAAGATCAATGCAAACAGACATCCAGCTAGTCAGCCATCGGTTATCTGGCCACCAGGTGAGTCCTATAGATAGATGTGCGTGTCACACAATCCTAACAATCATACATACATACATACATTCTGCTTAACTGCCGTGAAATCGAGTCACATAGAATGTTTTGCTTTGTTGAGGAAAAGCTGAAAGGAAAATTACCCATGCGATGGAGGGGTTCTGCACGTGGAGGGGATTTGGAAGACGATACCGTATTGTTTGTTGTGTGTGCGTGAGTTGTTGCTGTTTCTGTGATTGTTGTTGCAATTGTTGTGTCGGCTGTTGAGCTTGTCACACACTAATGATGCTTCAATAGTCTTGCCTTAGTGTTTGCAGCAATTATTGCCGCATTTGTTGAACTCGCCGTTTCTGCTGGTTGCCACTGAAATATTTGGGTACAGCAACTGCGCTCGAGAATGGCCTTGATTGCAACTCACAGGGTATTCGATAAAATTTGTTGCTTTAGCGGTGCTCTTATTTGATAGCGATAACTAGTGTGGCACACATGGCAGATGGCGCCATATTGCTACCATTTCTGTGGTGTTAAGCACAATAAGCGCCTAAGTCGACTTAAGAAAGAATGGAGTTATGTATGCTAACGTATTCTGCAAACTACTAATCCATGTGTATGTGAAATGCTCAACTCGCCAGCTAGGCTGTTTAAAAAGTTATGTACAAAAATATTTTGGCAAGGCTAACTTTAAAATTGAAATGTTTAAAACATTTTTTTTATTTCGCGAATTTGGGGGTATCGACTTATGCGGTTATTGCCTATGGCATACTTTGCATATTTGTGCGTGAAGTGAGTACACAAACGTTAAGCATCCATATATGAATATTTGTTCGCTTTGTGGTGCAAAGTTCGCCATTCAATGGTAATACATATTTGAATTTGTGCAGCACATTTTAGCGAATGCAGGTGATAAATTCGCTTTTGCATGAATATTGCCACACTCACGCAAATATATTTATGTACATAAACATGTACACAGTTATTAAAAGCTGGCATACATGGATGGGGCATACAGCTGCTTGATTGCCCCAGATTTCATAGATGCGCCTTTGTCGTTCTTTGACATCTATATAGATATTATCCCTCTTGTATTTGAAGTCAAGCTGCTTTGTGTACCTTGTGAAGTCTGCCATATGTGTTAGTATTGTCCTTATGTGGCAAATCAATTTCCTTTTGACCGTTAAAAGCTAGTCATGCCACTAATTGGCTGGCAGTCTATTGACGAAGTATGTACTATGGCTGTCAGTACCACCAAACAAAATGTAAAAAAATTTACAAGAAGGTCGTTTAAGTTTTTATTTTAGATGGTAGTAACTTAGAGAAGAATCAGTAAAATTATTTCATACATGAAAATATTGTTCTCATCAACATTGATAAATGCCTATACTATTTTCAACTTTGATAGTCAGTACTGCAGCAGCAGAGAATAGTAAATTAATTAATTAACTTGGAGGGAATCGCCTTATTATAATAAGGCCCACTTGCAGAACAGCAGGTTATCTATTTAACTCGAAGTTTACTGGCTAAATTGATAAATTGGCTTGCACAATCAATGGTTAGGAGTAAAATTAGAGTTAAATCGTTGAATATTTAGCCCAGCCATTTTCGAAGGTTAACTTTCTAACTCTACGTATGTCAATTCTGTCAGTAACAAGAAAAAATAAATAGAGATTTCAAAAATATTTTTGAAAATATATGTACATACATACATACATACATATTCACGTATTCATTATTCCGCCTTCAGCTCTGAGGTTTAGGTCAGTCTGGCGTAAAAAATATATGCGATTGAAATGCACCAACCGTGTTAGTAGTCCATCCAATTAAGACAACTCTCGGAAGTGCCGCTGGCCAATTTACAATTTGTACCTATTTATGAATGTATGTATGGAAGTGTTTGAAATTCTATATTCAAATCCTTATAAGAAATGGTAAATAAACGTCAAAAAAGAGAGAGTGGTGCCTACTTAATTTAAAAATCCCTCGGGTTACTTAACTCTGGGCCAGTTTTCAATGCTGCAAGACCATGTCTGGTTTAGGAATATAACAATTTAACTCTGAGCTTCTTATCTCTCTATTTATACATTTAACTCTGGATTTTCTGCCTGCTGGGTCTAAGTGTTTTGACTTATGAATAATGTGATTTTTTTGACATGTGGCAACTTGTTTTTTGAAAAAAGAAAACCTTTTTACACATCGACAGGCCAAGCCATATAATTTGACACCTCATCTTTGGAAACCGGACGACCGGTCAAGATCTGATGACATTTAACAAAAAAATTATATCGCGTATTATTTTAGTATTTTTTGCATATAGTTTACAGCTTTTTTAATCCTCGCTTCAATTTCAACCGCGATCCTAATCTTAATCTTAATCGTGACCAATCACGATCGTTAGGAATTACATATATCCCAACGAGTGTGTCGCGTCTTAGTTACATAGATGTCTTAAATGGTTGGTGAGTTATTTAAAGTACATCAGTGGCATAGAATTCTCTATACTTAATTGTATATTTCGGTGTAAATTTTATGTTGTTATGAGTTTGAATCCTATGGCTTATAAATTGTTTGTGTTAAACAAAATTGCTTACCCTCTCGCAGTGTAACAATGTAGTAAGATTCCTTGGACGGTGGACTGATACCCAATTTGTTCACAGCCAACAAGCGAAAGCTATAAACGGTGAATGGTATGAGTCCAGTAACTTGATATGAAGTAGCATTCGATTTGGTTAAAATTTGTGGCACTTGATCCCATGTACCATCTTCGCCGACCCTGAAAAATTAAAAGAAAAGCTATTAAAACTTATACTTAGTTACGAAAATTATTTACGAGTTTATACGATATTTAAATTTTTTTTTTTTTTTTAGCTGGTTGATTAAAACACATACGTATGTATATGTAATATACATTTGACTTTATCTGGCCAAAATTACAACTGCTCAAAATGACAAATGCTCATCGATTAGATGTACAGCCTTAGTTTGGGATTTGCTGATCCCCATTAGAAATTAACCTTTCATGTATATTTTGGAAAGATTTCAAGTTCATTTGCGATTGCATATTCCGACTTCATTTTAGTATATGATCATTAGGGTGGTACAAAAAAATGCATGTGAAAACATAAAGTCGGAACTTTAAAGCACTCACCCTCTAGGATTGTTCTGTACCAAAAAAAATTATACGCCTATTTTTTTTTTAATTTTGATATCAAAAAATCGATCAAACACATTGGCTGCATTTCTTTATTCATTCTGAATGTTTGGAATAAACTTTTTTGTTTATTTATTCTTTAGAACGTTCCTGATGATATGTTGACGTATATTTCAAACGCATTCTGTTTATTCCGGCTGTGAAATGGGATTATCCGGAATGTATAAAGAAACGCAGCCATTGATTTTCAAAAATTCCATACCATTTCTACGGAAAGTTGTTTTTCCTATATAAAATACAAAGAAAACTTCGAGTGCTTTGAGCTACCTCTAAATATTTTTTAACTACAAAATAAGAAAAACAGGGGTATAATTTTTTTCGGTATAAAACAGTCCCAGAAGGGGAGAGCATTAAAATTGCGACTTTACTTTTTTTTGAACCACGCTAATGTGCATACACATCTGTGGATATATGACATTTGGCAATTTCTCTCGAAAGATCAATTTAAGTAAAAAATTATTTAAATTTTTTTTTTAATTTTATATGGAAATTGACAGAAAATAAAAAACCATTTCCATTTAAATTGCTGGTAAAGGCGGCTGTTAACGAAAGTTAAATAAAAATTAAAAATTTTTAAATGTAAGCTCCTTATAATTCACTTTCAATTCCAACCTACAGAAAGCACAGAAGATATTTTGTCAAAAGCTCATAGATATGTAGAAAAAAGCAAAATACTTTAAACATTTTTTGGTTTTTTTTTCTATTAACATTTCCCGTTTCTGTTTATGTAAAAAATTAATATGAAATTAAATTTAAGCACTCGTTTCAGCTTAAATGGAAATTTTAATATATCACAAACACTAAGACCTGAAAAAATTGTATTTTAACTTCGAAGAATTTTTAAATTAGCGTATTATTATGTTCAATTATTAGACCACAAAAAGGATAAAATTCCTAATGACTAATTCAAAAAATGAGCTTTGCAAAATAAAATTCACGAAAACCCATTCATATTTCAATAGTATATAATGTCTGAGTGCTGAGTTTGTAAAAAGCAAACAAAAAAATGTATAAAGCGGATTAACATTTTCATAGCATCAAAGCGAATTAAGAAGCAAAAATATGAAATTTTTTAATATGCATGCATGCATGCATACATACATATGTGGTCAAACACATGAACTCATACCCACACATACCCACATTTTCTAAAGCCACGCGTGTATAAATAAACTTATTATGAAAGGGGACAGCATAGAAAATAATAAATTATATTAAAAAATATTTATGCTATGATGTTTTATTGTATGTATGTATGTATGTATACATGCGGGAAACCGAGCGCATTTAGTAATGAGCAAAGCTAAGGGTGAATGCAAAAGTTTTCAATGAAATCAAAGCATAAATACTGTATAGGTAAATACTTAAGTATATCTACATACATATGCACATTAGGCCGCATCACAAAAAAAATTGCAACTTTTTCCAAGCGGTTGTGAATACCACAAATATTTGTTTTTCGGCACCGGGTTTTTTTTTCTACCACTTCTTTCCTTGATGCTCGATTTCTATAAATGATATTCCGTTGTAATGGTATTAAAAAGTCTATACACTCTCCTCGCAAAATATTATCCTGTCATGCGAAACTAAGAAGTTGTAATATTTTTCTCCAATCAATAGCAGGAAGCTCTGCTTTGATGAAGAGCACCTTGACTATATATTTTCTACCTCTCCAGAGGTGTCAGCGAAAGCGAGGCCAAACGGCTAGCCATTATTCCGATGGCAAAAGGAAAAGCCGAACTGGCTTTGCTGGCTGGCACAAAGCTTAAGAGGAACCGATCGGTCAACCTCACATCTTACCCGGTGGAGAACTCTCCCAAACGGAAACCAGGTCCAGCTGACAAAAGGGCCCATATGGGACCAAAGGTACCTAGTGTTAAGGCAACTTTTGCCGATGTCACAAAGGCGCCGACCTGTCAGGCGGACACTGGTAATGGGGTTAAGTTAGGGTTACTCCCCAAAGGGTACCCTAAGGCACTTTGGTCCTTAGACCAACTACAGGCCATTCAGACGGCCATCCTGGAGGAGGTGAGGCGGCAGCGAAAGGGCTCTGTGAAGCCCAAGTTTAGCGGTTGCACCTTCCGTCCGGGATGGATGTCCATTGGCTGCGGAGACGCTATAACGCTGGAATGGCTGCGCAAGGTATCCCAAACCCTGAAGCCTTGGAAGGGCGCGGAAATTGTGGCAATGAATGCCACTGACGTGCCCAAACCCAGTGTGTACGTTGGGTACTTTCCGGAGCCATCAACCACTCCAGTGGACAGTATCCTTGGCCTTGTCGAGGGTCAGAACGAAGGGCTGCGGGTAGGTAGCTGGAGGGTGCTCAACAGGGTACAGAAGGGACCCACCACTGAGCTCACTCTAGCGGTTGACCCGCACTCAGCGGAGACACTCGACAGGCTGGGATACTTAGTCAATTATGGATATGGCAGGGTGCGCATCCATAAAAAAGGGAAGACGACTGAGTCGTCAGACCCGAAGGGTGCACAGCCTGCTATAGCCAGTTCCTCCTCCACTGCACAAAGTGAGTGCTTCAAAGAGGGACCTTGCGGTTCCAAGGACGTACCCAAGGGACTGCAAAGGTTACCTTCAGAGCAGTCAGGGGCAGCGGAGAAAGAAAAAGCACCTGTCCAGGAGTCCATAGAGCGGCCCTGCTGCTCAGAAGACACTCCTGGCACGGAAAAGAGGGTACCTTCCAGCCCAGAGAGATCAAAGGCCCCTTTCGTCCAAAATCCCTTCCGTCCTCCGCTAAATGCGAATCGGAGACAAGGTCGAGGGGAGATTTCAATGGAGGAGAAGACCCTGATGGCCACCAATAGGGGGAAAAAAGATGGCCAAGCGGGCTTCAAGGCCGAAAAATGGCAAACCCCCCAAGCGATAGGCCTAGGCACATCAAGTGCCTGCAAGTGAACCTCCATCATGCAAAGGCGGCCTCTGACGTCTTATGCAGGAGGTTCAAAACAGAACTCTTGGATGTCGCATTCATCCAAGAACCGTGGGTTTTCGCCGGGGCTATTAAAGGCCTAAACGACTGTGATGGTAAGATAATTTACGATACCACACTCTGCAGGCCCAGAGCGGCCATATTACTACGTAATAACATGACTTTTGTTCCCATTTCAGAGTGGACACAACAGGACTTAGCTGCTGTATGGACTAAAGTGCCCACTCAAATGGGAGAACAAGAGGTCGTTCTCGCTTCAGCTTACCTCCCAGGCGACAGCTGTGAGATGCCCACAAGGGAAGTAATAGCCCTAGAGGAGTACTGCAGAAGGAGAAAGCTGAAACTAATAATGAGCTGTGACGCCAATGCCCATCACTGTGTTTGGGGCAGCTCGGACACCAATTCTAGAGGTGAGTCATTTCTTGAATTTATCACTAAGAACAACTTATTTATTCTTAACCGGGGTAATGAGCCGACCTTTGTCAATGCTATAAGAGGGGAGGTTCTAGACTTGACAATTTCCTCAACTAGCTTGTCGACCTTTATCTCAAACTGGCATGTCTCAAATGAGGTATCTATGTCGGACCACCGGCATATTCGATTCGATATAGAAGCCCAAAGAGTAACAAACCATGTTTACAGAAATCCCAGAAAAACAAACTGGGAACTCTTTCGCCTCCACATAGAGCGGGAAGTGAATGGTTCTACCGCACCAATTTCATCCGTCTATGAACTTGAGGACGAGGCGAGAAAGTTCCAAGATGTTCTTAAACAAGGTTTTGAAGAGAGCTGCCCACTGAGAACCAAGAAGTCTCAAAGGGATGTCCCTTGGTGGAGCGATTCTCTCGGAAAACTAAGGAAAAGAGCCAGGAAACTTTTCAATAGGGCAAAGTCAACAGGTGACTGGACCGCCTACAAGTCAGCCCTAACCGCTTACAACTAGGAGCTCAGAAGGTCTAAAAGGGCTACGTGGCGTGAGCACTGCGGAAGTATTTCCTCTCTTCCAGAGGTGCATCGCCTTCAGAAGGCCCTTAAACTAGATCATCTGAAAGTCCTATGCACTTTGAAAAGACCAGATGGTACCTACACTGGCACCCCGGAAGAAACCAGCAGGCTTCTGCTAGAAACCCACTTCCCGGGATGTATTCCACAAGGCACATGTCCTTCGACAAACACGGCGAACGCTGTGTGCGCAAACAGGAGGACTAGAGGCCTAGCAGGAAGAAGCGTCAGTGTGGAAAAGATATCGTGGGCCATTTCAACCTTTAGTGCATATAAATCCCCTGGTCCAGATGGTATCTTCCCATGCCTGCTGCAGCAGAGCTTGGGCTTAATATCTGGGCCACTAGTCAGATTGCTGAGAGCAAGTCTCTTACTTGCTCACATACCAACAACATGGAGTGAAGTCAAAGTGGTCTTTATATCCAAAGTGGGGAAAAACTCAGCACAACTCCCAAAGGCGTATAGGCCAATTAGCCTCAGTTCCTTTCTAGTAAAGACACTAGAAAAACTTATTGACTTTCACATAAGGGATAACTTTCTCAGGAATAAGCCTCTGTGTCAGAGTCAGCACGCATACCAGGCAGGCAAATCTACTATTACTGCAGTACATAGCCTA